CTCTCCCTCTCTTCCTTCTTTCCCCACCCAACCCCCTCTTTTTCTTCTCCTTTCCTCCCTTAAATATTTTTTGTTTTGATTAGGACTTCCAGAATGATGTTAAATAGGAGAGGTGATACCTCAGCCTTAATCTGATTTCTAGTCTGAAGAGGAAGGAGAATATCGCTGTCTTTCACTATTGAATATAATATATTGGTGAAGTTTTGTTTTTATAGATATCCTTTATCATGTTGATGAAGCACCTGTCCATTCCTAGTTTGTCAAGTGTTCTTATGAAAGGGTGTTGGATTTTGAATTTTGTCCAATGATTTTTTTTCCCTTAAATTGAGACAATCATTTGACCTGTCCCCACTACTTCATTTTTATTAGTATATTGTATTATATGGATGGACCTTTTTCTATTGAATTAGCACTGCATTCCTGAGATAAATCCTATTGTGTGTTAAAACTTTTTTTCTATACATTGATGGTTTAATATTACAAAGGATCAAGCATCATACCAAGAGCTTTGAGTCTTATATAGCCTCAAACATTTTACTATAACATTTTTTAATCTTTTATAACCAAAATAACAATAAAACCAAAATGATAAAAACTTCCAGCTATTTTCCTAGGTTCAGTTAAACTAGTCCTGTTGAGGTTTTCGTATTAGTATTCACAGGGGATCCCATTTTTCTAGTTTACTTGTGGTGTTGATCTCTGGTTTTGTGTAAAAGTAATGGAATGAATTACAGAGGGCTCCATTTCCTCTTTTGGGTAGAGTTTGAGAGGGTGTGTGTGTCTATATCTAATTTATATTTATATGTAAATTTTCCCTGAGTCTTGGCACAGAGCTCCCCAAACCCTTTGAATTCCTGATTGTAGGATTATCTTTTGTTATTCATAACTAGTTGATTTTGACTATACCCGAGTTTATGCTAATAGAGTGACTCTTGGCATCAGACTCTAGTTAGCCTCCAGATGGAAGCTGGTTGCCATGAGAATCAATCATGAGGATTAGAGGGTTGGAAATCCCATCTTGAGAGGGAGAGAGGGTGGAGATTGACTCTAATCATCAAGGACTGTTGACTTCATCTATCATGATTACATACTAAAACTCTGATGAAAGTCTCAGGAGAAGCAAGATCTGGTGAGCTTCTAGGTTGATGAACAGTTTGATGTGCTGGAAGGTGCATTCCCTGGAAAGATGGATGCAGTGTGTCCCCCATCCTTTTGCTCTGTGTGTCCCTCTTACACTGTTCCTATGTGATATACAGTAATTGTAAGCATAGCACTTACCTCAGTTTTGTAAGTTGCTCAAATGAAATACCAAACCAGAGGAAGGATTGTAGGAACTCTGACATGAAGGTTATCCAGGCAGATGTGCAAGTGCCCAGAGGCCCCTTCGTGTAGCTGCATGTGAAGTGGGGACATTCTTGTGGGTCTGAGTCTTTAACTTAAGGGATTGGTCTATGCCAATACCACATAATTAGTGCCAGAATTAGATTTAATTGTAGGACACTCAGAAATTTTGTTATTGCTTGAAAACCCAAATAAGAATCACTCTGAATTATTTTCCACTGTTGATACCATCTGATCCTGATATTTTCCTCTGCTGGGAGGTTGTTTACATTATTGACTTAATCTTTTACAAAAAGTCTATTCAGATCTTTCCACCTGTTCTTGAGTTTTGTAGTTTGGGGTTTTGTTTGTTTGTTTGTTTTGTCTTTGTTTGTTTGTTTTTTGGTCTTTTTGAGATAGAGTCTCCCGGTAGCCCCAGCTGGCCTGGAACTTGCCATGTAGACCAGGCTGGCCTCAATCTCACTGCCTCCTGAGTACTGGGGATTAAAGGCATGTGCCACCATCCCTGTCTCAAGTTTTGTAGTTTTTTTGTGTTTCTAGGAATTTAGTTCATCCAGATTGTCAAATCTCGATAATACACACATAATCACTAATATATGTTATCAGTTTAATCTCAACTATTGTTTGCAACATAAATGGGATAATCTGTTGTATCCAAGAAATATCAGCTGTTTGCAGCTGTTCCTTCATGTCCATACACTCCTTCCCCCACCTATAAAACCAGTACTTGGGAGTCAGAGGCAGGAGGCTCATGGGATCCAGGCCAGCCTGGGCTGCAAAGACCCTGCCTCAAACAAACAAGCAAGCAAGCAAACAAATGATAAATGAATATTAGTTATTTCCTTCTGGATTCCATGGTTTCTGATGACTGTTTTGCTATTTTATTTTCTTCTGGTTTTTTTTTCCCTAAGATTTTTTTTTTTAGTTTTTTATTAGTCTGATTATGTGGCTATATATACATTTCTTTACATTTATTGTTTTCCTTATTCAAATAGTTTTATTGATATATAATTCACATACTGTACAATGTACCCTTTTAAAATATATACTTCAAGAGTTTTAAATTTATTTGCTTATTTTAATTTTTGTGTATGAATATTTTGCTTGAATGTATGTAAGTGCCCCCATGTCATGTGATGCCCACAGAGGCCAGAAGAGGGTGTTGGAACTGGAGCTATGGACAATTGTTAGCCATCATGTGGAAAATGGGAACTGAACCCTCTGTAAGAGCAGCCAGTGCTCTTAACTGCTGAGTCATCTCTCCAGCCCCCTAGTTCAATGGTTTTGATATATAATTAGAGTTTTAAATTTAGTGATATATATAACAATGGGAAAGGAAATGGAATGTTCTTTGGCCACAAAATAGTGCAGTTTTTTGCATTCATTTTGTGTAGGTTTTCTCAAATTCTTATATTGTGCCTCTGATATTTGAGAAGGTTTCAGCCTTTTTTAAATTTATTTATTTATTTATATTTTTGAGACAGGGTCTTACTATGTAGCTCTTGATGGCCTGGAACTCACTATGTAGATCAGGCTGGCCTTGAACTCACAGAGATCCACCTGCCTGTACCTCCTGAGCGTGCCTGGCTAGCAACCATTATTTCTTAACACATTTTTTAGCATCAAGCTTTTGCTTTTCTGGAATTCTCATGACTTGTAGTTTGCTGCTAACTAACATATTCCCGAGGCTCAGTTTATATCCCTTTTTTCTCCTGTTAGTTGCTATAGAATAATTTCTATTGTTCCATCTTCTAGTCCACAGACTACTTCTGCTATGATTTGCCTCCTGCTACTGAGTCTGTCTGGTGAATTTTAATTCATTTCTCAATTTTTATAATCTATTTGACTTCATTTTCTTCAGCAACACATTATTTTAAATTTTGTTTTAGTACTATTTTGATTGCTTAATGAACATTTTAATTGTAAATACTTTAAAGTGTTTTCTGTTTTCTAGATAATTTTAACCTCTGTACCATTACCTCTGTTGATGTCTTTCCAATGTTCCCTGAAGTCTTTGTTTTTAAATAATATTTGTGTGTTTTATATTGTGTTCTATATTATTTTTTTGTTGGCAAAATATAGGCCATTCAGTTCAATTTGAAATTCAGACAAAAATGAAGAATGTTTTTAGTATATGTCCTTAACAAAAATATTTATGTACCTGAAATTCAACTTAATTGACCTTATGTTTTGCCTGGAACCTTACCTTGTTAGGTTCATGCCACAAGTTCCGACCCACTTCTGTGGGCTGATGTTCAGTCATCTGAGGCGTTGTTATTGTATCTGGATTCTCCTGGGACTTGGGCAGGTCTGCCATCTCAGGAGTAAAGTGCTTGCTGTCCTTGTTAGGATGCAGTTCCCTCACACTGAGGTCAAGACTGAGTTCCCCTCTTCTTCCGTCTCCCCAGTACTTTCAGGTTCTCTTCAGGACTTCTCTTCTTGGTGTTCTGGCCAGAAATGACCCATTTCCTTGATTGCCTGCTGCTACAAGTTCAAAAGGATTTCTGTTCCTGTGTTCTGCCTTGCTGTGTCCCCTGGTTACTCTTTCTGATCCACTCACCTAACAGATACAACACTTATTAAAGTCCTTGTTCAATGTACAGCCACTCCCTTCTGCCCCTGTGATGAATTTTGCAGTGCAGTCTTGATTTTGGCACCCCCATGAGACTGGTAGGAAGGTTTCATAGGAAGGAACTTCTGACACATGCTATGACGTGGCTGGAACTTGAACACATTTTGTACTAAATGAGATAATCCAGTCACAAAAGGACATATGCTGTATGATTTATTATTACCTAGAGTAATACCTACAGGGTATAGGAGGGATAGTTACTATTTAATGAGTGCAGAGCTTTCATTCTTGAAGTAGTTATGATTGATGGTGTTGATTGTATGACAATGTGATTGATGCCACTAAACCAAACACCAAAAAGACACTCATAATGGTAAATTTTATGTTGCGTATATTTTATCACAATTTCCTGAATGTGCTTACTAGCCCTTCAGCCATCCCCATAGCAGCAACTGATCCCAGGGTAAAAACCCCATTAGGTAAGTACTATAGTTTACTGACCTACAGATGACAAGTTCCCATAGGTTAATTATTTTGCTCAAAATTATGCATATGTGGCACACTGTAGCATTGAGACTTGAATTCAGGAAGCCTCAGTTCAGATTCTAGGTTTGTGGTTCCTATGCCACACTGTCTACAGCCAGGAGGGAAGGATCGTGACAGAATTGACCTGGTGTTTGGCACAGGACATTGCACTGAGTGGGCACCAGACAAACAAGCATTTAGTGCTGTAATTTGTGAGACTTTCAGAGCCCACCAAATTAATATTGATATTCTGCATTTATATTTTATATCCTAGGTGAAAATGGAATTTTCTGCCGTTTACTGCATGGTTGTATCTCTATTACATAGTGTTTTAATGAATTAATATAAACCTATAGAAGAGCAGACAAGTACCCATTTTTTCCTTCCCCCCCACAAGTACCCATTTTAAGTGTCCATTGTAATTATCTTTCCATCGATGTGATGGAAGCAGAAAACAATGAAGCAATAGCTCTTTTATCGGATGGCATTTAATACTTGGGCAGGTAACCTTAATTTTTTCTAATCTTGACTTAAGCATCGAGCTCCCATCCTTTGTGGTAAAATGGATTCATTGTGGCTCAAGCAGTTTTCAGTCCTCTTGTGGAAAAATTCCCTTTTAAAGGTAAGTGGACATCTCTGTGGGAACTGGATGGAAAGGCTGTGAAGCCAAAGGGGGATTAACGGATGGTGTCTTCACCTTACTTTATACTAGTTAGCTTGTTTTCTCCCTTTTGTTCCTGGAGGCAGCATTGCTTATCCTGAATACCTGGAGAGTGAATTAGAGGATAGAGAGTGAGATGTAAAAGCGTGAGGAAGACAATCAAGGGAGCCATTGCTCCTATAGAATGAAGCACAATAACATGGGTTTGCTGTGTGTGCATGTACACCTCCACACGGAGCGTCACTGTACACAGGCACCTACCCACGGAGCAGTGTAAGCACAGGCGTGCACTCATAGATTGATTAACACAGTGCTTTTGTTTCTCTTGCAGAGACGGAAGGTGTTTGGCTTAGTTGTAGAAATCCTTATGATATTTCTGTTGTTTGCATGGACTTTGGCTATCCGCAGAATTTCAAGGACATTTGCTCATCGTGCTACCATTTTTAATTCTCATCCCTTGACATTACCTGGTTTCCTTTTAAATAAAAAGTTTGCATATGAATTGGCTTATGTGCCTTCTGAAAGTGATGTGGCAAGAAATATTACTGAGGTGGTGAAAAAGGATTTAAGATACGATTTTAAAGATTAGAAATGAACAAACCTAAGATACTTTTCTGTAGAAGAGTTATGATTCAGTAGCTTTCACAATTTATGCACTCATCTCCCAGAGAAAACACCATGGACTTTTTTCAAATGTCTTCATCACAGAATCATTATTAAAATAGAATATTTAAATTAGATGACTGAATTAATTTCCAGTTCTAGAATTCTTTGCCTATGGTTATACTTTTTTTAAAAAATATTTATTATTTTTATTTTATGTATGTGAGGGGATTTGAACCTGCGTCTTCTGCAAGAACAGCTAGTGTTCTTAACCACTGAGCCACTCTCCAGCTCCTATTTTTATTTTTTTATGTGTATGAGTGTATTGCCTGCATGTATGTGAGTGCATCCGTGTCGTGCAATGCCACGGAGGTCAGAAGAGGGCTTCGGATTCCCCTGGAACTGGAGTTAATGAGGATTCATAGCCTCCATGTGGGTGTTGGGAATCAAACCTGGGTGCTCTGCAAGATCAGTCAGTGCTCTTAACTGCTGAGCCATCTCTCCAGCTTGGGTTATGCTTTTAAAAAGTGTTTGTGTGTGTGCGTGTGAGTGTGTGCATGTGTGTACACTTGAATGCATATGTGGAGGTCACAGGATAGCTTGTAGGAATTGCTTCTCTCCTTCCACCGATCCTGAGGATCAAACTCAAGTGACCAGGCTTGGTGGCAGGTGCCTTTACCCCACTGAGCCACCTCATCAGCTTTATGATTTTTCTTTGCTTTTTAGCTTAATATAGGTAATTGATCTTGTGCCAAGTCTTATAATGAAGCAGGTACTTTTTCTTGGTGCATATATTTTATTCAGAGTCATTATAAAATATTACTTAAATATGATCTATGAATGCATCTGAAAAGATTAGAACAGTGTAGAATTTTCACAGAAGAAATACCTTTTTATCACACATCTTTTTTACATATGCAGTTTCTCTTCTTTCACATTGTTAGGAATTGGGCTGTACCCTGAGGACTTGGTTATAGCCTCATTTGACATTAGTCTTGCTATTAGAACCATTCACCTAGCAACTTGGTTTGAAGAGGGCTCACCTGTGTCTCCAGTGATGATGAACCTGCTGATCTCAGCTCTGGCTATAGACCAGATCTCAGCTCTGACTCTGAGACATGTTTCCAGTACCCTCTTAGCAATGATTAGAGATCAGTTCTGTTGGTAGTATGGGGCCACAGCTCAGAGACCTAGAGAGGATTCCTACATGAGTCTTTCATGGAGGTTCAATTGTAGACTCTGAAAAAGTCCTGAGGCTTTGCTTCAGCCCATCAGAATTGCAGGCTGAGAACAGTCTCATACATAACCCAGGAAAAGATGTATTTGTCAGATTTGCCCCCTTCTCATAACAGACCTTGAAATGGCCCTCAGACTCTGATACAATCCAGCTTAACAGTAGACTGAGATCAGTCCTGTTGGTGGCAAACAGACACACAGAAGGGAACATGCCCTCCAAAGTCCCCTGACCTCAGTTCTTGCCTCAGTGAAACCTGAGGCAGCCCTGCAGCTTGGTTTCAGTGCCTCTCAGCCATGGACCAGGGAAGTACAGGAGTCTTCCCAGAGGCCTGGAGGAAGCCCACATCTGTCTGAATACCTACTAACAGGTACATTTTCTGTACCCTAATTGAGCATTTGTTTTTGTAATCTCAGTGATCTTCTTTATATAAGCTGACAAGCTAATTCTGAAATTGATATGGAAAATGTCACTATAAAACAAAATACTATTGAAAAACACAGAGCAAAGTCAAGAGATTCACACTTCTCAATTTGGAAGTGTTTATGATAATAAAACAATGTGGTCTTGGTACAAAGGTAGATGTAAATTTTCTATGTAATAGAATTGGGATTCCAGAAATAAATACATACAGCCATAGTAAATTGATTTTAGATAACATATCAAAACTAATCTATGGAGAAAGGATAGTGTCTTGAACCATTTGGAAACTGAGTATTCTGTGTGCAATAGAATATTGTTGCATATTTTCCTTATAGCTTATGTAAAATAGCTCGAATTGGGCCAGTAATCTAAATATGAGAGCTAAAACTATAAAAATAGTAGAAGAGGGGCTGGAGATATGGCTTAGCAGTTAAGAACACTGGTTGTTCTTGCAGAAGACCCCGGTTTGAATCCCAGTGTCCACATGGCAGCTAACAACTGTCTGTAACTCCAGTCCCAGGGGATCCAACAGCCTCTTCTGACCTCCGCGGGCATTGCGACATGGGTGCCTTCCAACTCTAAACCTAAAAATCAACTACAGGGGCTGGAGAGATGGCTCAGTGGTTAAGAGCACTAACTGCTCTTCCAGAGGACACAGTTTCAATTCCAAGCATCCACATGGTGTCTAACAACATCCTGTAACTTCAGTTCCAGGAGATACTACATCCTCTTCTGGCCTCTGGAGGCACTGCTCAGCCACTTACATACATGCAGGCAATACACGCATACACATAAAATAAAAATAAATAAAATTTTTAAAAAAGTAGTGGAAGAAAGCAAATGATTGGGCCTCATGACCTTGGATTTGATAAAGTTCTTAGGTATGACTCCAAAGCATGAAAAATGCAATAAAATATTTTCAACAAAATTGAAAATGTTTTCCAAAGGAAGTTCATTGAGAAAATGAAAGATAGCCTGCGGGCTGAAGAAAGCATTTGCAAACTATATACCCGATAATAGGCTTGCATCTAGAATGTATAAAGTTTTTCTAACAACTGAATCATAAAAGGTCAAGTATCCAATTTAAAAGACAACAAAGGATCTGAGCACATCTTTCACCAAAGATCTATAAATGACCAGTAATCACATAAAAAGATGCTCAACATCATTAGTGATCAGGGAAATGTAAATGAAATACACTTCATGTAGACTAAGGGGACTAGAATAAAGATAAATGTTTGATTAGGGTTGGAATAGTTGGGACCTTGCTGCTTGGATTGCAGATGGAAAATCTGCTTTGCCAAATAGTGACAGTTTTTCAATAAACACAGAGTTGCCATGTGATTTAGCAATTCCAGTCTAAGTGTAGAGCCAAGAGACATCTATAGGACCGTGTGTGTGTGTGTGTGTGTGTGTGTGTGTGTGTGTGTGTATAAAATCTCCTTCACAGGAAAAAAAGTAGTGACAATTATTTTATGTCCAGGGGTAATTGTGGGGAACTCAGAGTACAGAGTTGATTCTTTTTTAAGGTAATTGGCTGTGATGGTTGTGTATGTCTGAAGTACACTTCAAATAGTGAGCTGTATGATGTGTAAGTGCTTTCTCTATAAAGCTAATAACATTTTATATTGGTGAAAACTTGTATTTGTAGAGTAGGATTTGAGAAAACGGAGAGTAGAAACACAGTCTTAGACCACTTCTTTCTGTGGAACTGAGAAATCACTCTTCCTTCCCTCCTTCCTTTACATTTTCCCATGTCTGTTTTGCTTGCTCCCTCCCTCTCTTCCTCCCTCTATCCACTCCCTCCCCTTTCCTTCCTTTACACTCTTACTATTAACTACACATTATTAAATTTTATTCAGTACTTCTGCCAATTTGAAGCAAAGGAAAATGGAAGGTTTCTCTCTTGGTATCATTGGGTTATATAGAAGAACCAGGTCACTGAGCACTGTTAACAGGCTCATAGGAAGATAGTATTAGTCACACAAAATTTTGAGTAAAGGGTCTATGTTTCCATTTACATAGAAAACAAACAAAATTTCAATGAATTTTAAATTTACTGAATAAAAAACTGATGTAATTTTACAAAACTGTAGCTATTTTGATGGGATCATTTTGGCTTTAATTTGCTTTTCTCTGGTTACTAATTGTTTTGTTGTTTATGCTTTTGTGGTTCAGAACTTTGCTCATGTGAGGCAAGCACCCTACCACTGAGCTACATCTTTTTTTTTTTTTTTTTTTTTTTTTGGTCTTTTTGAAGCAGGGTCTCTCTGTAAACCCCAGCTGTCCTGGAACTCACTATGTAGACCAGGCTGGCCTTGAACACTCAGAGATCCACCTGCCTCTGCCTCCCAAGTGCTGGGACTACAGGCGTGCGCCACCACGCCCGGCTTGAGCTACATCTTTAAGCAGGTCTGACATCTAATTGAACACCATTTCCATGTGACTATGGGCTATATTGGTATCAGAAAGTGGGATATTATTGTGAAGAATGTGATCATGTGGGTTTTTGGAGAAATGTGGAAGACTTCGGATGTTTGGACTAGAAAAGTAGTTAAATGCTATAAGCAGAGCTTAACAGGCTGTTCTATCCTGGAAGAAAGTAGTGCTGAGAGCAAAGTAGTTCCAGAGGGAAATAAGAACTTAAATAGCAACTGGGATGCTTTGGCAAAGCATCTGACTGGAGTCTGCCCACAGTCTAAGAGTTTTTCTGAGGCTAAGTTGGAAAATAATGGACTAATTTCTTTGGTAGAGGAAATTTCAAGACATCTTAATATAGAAGGTGACTGTTATGCAGATCTACAGTGAAAAGAGCAAGTGGGTCAGAAAGAAATGCAGAATTTAGAGTTTGGAGGGAACAGTATGAAATTTAATAAGGTTGGAGCCAAGCAAGGGCTGTGCTGAAAGAGGGGCTCTCTTTGATCAGGAGATTAAGGCCATTAAGGAGAGGCCTAGAGAGTTGCACTGGAACAATGGAAAGAGTACCCTCAGGGCAAGACCACAGCCAGCTAAGCCTTCAGCTTGGGAAAGGAAAATGCTACTCCTAGAAAACCACAGCACAGAAAAGCTGCTAATGTTGATGAGGCAGACCAGGGTCCATCCCAGGTTGGCAGCTGAACTTCGCAGTATCATTTATGTGGTGTTGACTTTAAAGCCATGAAAGATGAAAGAGTTAAGGGGTCATAAGTTCTTCCTCCACAGTTTTAGAGAGCCACTGAGGCCAGGCAGCATGTAGCAGGGTGTTTCTGCATAAAGAAGGCCCTGATAGGCCAAGAGGCCCTGAAAGTCCCTTGCACAAAGATGTGAAGTTGAAGCCTAGTTGGTAATAGAAATCCCAAGACTTTGGAGATGCTAGAGCTGTGAGACATCTACCAAGAAGAGCTGTATACGGGAAGTGGTACCATCCCAAGAAAGAGATGTATAATGCAGACAGCAAAGCTGGAGGGGCTGAACCATCTAAATGCTTTGAAAATAAAGTCCCAGAAGTCAGATATGGAACTACAGGATTTGGTGTTTGCCCTCCTGGTGTTTTATCATAGCAACAGAAAAGTAACTAATATATTGGCCATCTGGCTATTTGTTTTCTATGGCAAACCTGTTCACATATTTTGTCCATTTTCTGTTGGACTGACTTTTTTCTCTTACTATAGGAACTATAACTGTTACTTACAGATGTATTTGTTGATTATAAGTACTACATATCAGCTTCTGGTCTCAGTTTGTGTCTTGTCTTTCCTCTTAGTGGTATCTTTTGAAGAACAGTGGTCTCTAAATGTCATAAAACCTACTTTCTCCATTTTTCTTCCTTTGTATTTGTTTTGCTTTCTGTCAATGCAACCTCAAGCCAGTGGCTTCCTGGTGTGTGTGTGTGTGTGTGTGTGTGTGTGTGTGTGTGTGTGTGTGTATGTGTGTGTGTGTGTGTAAGTACTGGAGATTGGACCCAGGACCTCAAGCATGCTAGGCAGGTGCTCTACCACTGAGCTACAGCCCCAGCCCTTTTCTTTGTAATCTGTTTAAAACTTTTCCTTTCTCCAAATCCTGAATATATTCTTACCACTGTCTTATAGAGGGGAGTTTTGGGAGGGGGGCTTGGGGATTTACATGCATATCTCTGATCTATTAGGAATTTATTTTTGTTTTATATAGTTAAGTTTGAAAATTTATTTTTCCATACCCCAGATATGCATTCACTGGTTTTGCAACAATATTTTGAAATTTATGTGAGGATAGGACTGTGTTTTTCATAGTGCCAAGAGGAATTATCATTACACACTTTGCATTTATGGGGACAACTTGTATTTTTTTCTTTACAGTTCGAGGCTTTTCTTCGGAAGAATCTTTTGAAAAGTACATTAAGTATGAAAACAAGTCTGCGCTTGTGCTGGCTGCAATTGTGTTTGATCACAGTGTCAAAGCCAGCACTGACCACTTGCCACTTCAGGTGAGAAAGTTTTATCTTAAGACCTGATGATTGTATTTTTAGCTTTGAGATTTTTAAAAATTATTTATTTAATAACCACATACTTAGAAGAAGCATTTCATTACATCAGCATTGACATATTCAATAACAATTTCTTGAGCTAAGATGCATCTCTTTCAAAATTGGCTGTAAATTTTTAGGTTCACAGTTGAATTATTACAGTTACACAATATTGTACTCAGTATAAACCCTATAAGACATAAAATTAAATGAGGTTTTAACCTTTAAAAAATCTCCATTTCATCAACAAAATACACAGTTTCATACAGAAAAATTCTTTTTTTTTTTTTTGTCTTTTTGAGACAGGGTCTCCCTGTAGCCTGAGCTGTCCTGGAATTCATTATGTAGACCAGGCTAGCCTTGAGTCCTGAGTGCTGGGACTACAGGCATGTGCCACCACGCCCAGCAGAAAAATTCATTTTTAATTCATTTGACATTAAGATGTTTGCATATGCGTTTCTAATCTCTATATATCTGATTATTACTAGTCACAGTTGGTTACTTTCTGGGCTTCTTGGCATCTGAGCATGGATATAAAGTCATCAGGTAGTTTTCAGTGGTAATGTTTTTCATGTTTACTAATAAGAAGCAAATTTTCATGCTTTGAAGAATTATTTTTTTATCATTTAAAAATTTTTTTAATAACTATGTGATTAGAAGAAGCATTTCACTACAGCTTTAACATATTCAGTAACACACTCCAGAGCAAGAGTACATCTCTTTCACAAGTGGGTGCAAGTTTCTAGGTTCACAGCTGAGTTAATATACTAACACAATATTATACTCAGCATAAGCCCTGTAAGACAAAATTGAATGAGTTTTTAACCTTTAGAAAAGATCTCCATTTCATTTTAGAATATATTGTTCCTTGCAGAAAGACTCATTGTTTTTGCTACTAACACTGAAATGTTGGCACATGCATCTCTAACTGGTATGTAGCTGATTATTACTAGTCATAATCAGTTGCACTTGGATCCTTTGCACCTGTATATGTCTATAAAGTCATCGGGTAGATTTCAATGGTAATGTTTATCACCTCTACTAATTAGCATGATGTAAATTTCCATACTTCCTCCTCAAATATAATACATTTTTTAAAAATTTGTTGATTTTTTTGTGTGTGTGTATATCACATAGAACATCCCAAACCCTCTTATTCAACTATACATCCACTTCCCAGATGACACCCTCTCATAGCCTCCCTCCCCCAACTAGAGCCCTTATACTCTGATATCCCTGCTACTATCTGCTGTGTTGTCAGCACCCCAGCCAATCCCCACTACTTGCCCTTCTGGTGAATCTAGTCAGCCTATCTAGAGGTCTTTGTTTTAGGAGGGTCAGCTGTTCC